CGCGGATTACAGTATACTAAACAGTTCCGAAGCTTGCATTTTTGATTTCCGCATTCGGCTTTTTGCATCTAAATGGTGAAAATGTCGCCCGCCCCTACTGGAGCATTATTTATCAGGGTTTTACTTTTGGAATTAGCTCATGACGAGAGAATAAGCCTTCAGCATGCAATGGGCAGCAGAAATCTGCAGCTGAAAAACGAACTGCGTGACAAACAGCACAAGGAAATATCCTCGAATTTCAACAAAATCCATAGTTAAAAAAAACATACATTCGGCAAAGTATTTTCGACATTTCCAAGGAAGACCAAGCCACTGGTGCTGCGTTCTGAGCGATTTTGCAACATTTCATCAGAAGAACGAATATTTGACCTTCAAAGTAATTCGAAGTGCATTGTGAAAGTAACTTGATGCAAGAAATTAAAAAAAGAAATCATATCTTTTGTACGATCCAAGCTGTAGTAACATAGGATGAGACATACGAAGAGAACTAAGGCACCAACAACAAAGTTAACTCTAAGTTCAAAGGAATATAACTATAAAAATGGCTTGCCAAAAACAAGAAGCATCGGTAATTGACCAATCCGATCACATAGGCTACAGAATGGAACTCGATCCATATCCCCAAGAAGTATGAAATGAGGGGAAGGAATAAGTATGAGAATGCTATGAGCTACCATTTAAATTCCCGCCTACTCTATGCTTTTTTATGCCTCCCCAGGAAGAACAACTCTCTTCCACTTCAGCGCAGTGGGCCTAGAGCCGAAAACAGCAGACGAAGGCCAGCCCCGAAAATTCTCACAGTAATCCACCCATCGGACTTCCCACCACAACTACCAAGCGCCATTTTATAACACTGCCGAATCAAAAGGTATCTGCAATGCTAGAATGGAAATCCAGCATACTGCCCGCAGGAGCGCATTTCACAAACTACAGTCTGAGAAGTATATGCGCAAATCGCATGTTACAAGCCACACCCGGAGCAAGGAATGCTCGCACAGTCCATTTTTATAAACTACACTGCTTACCTGTTGTCCTTGGGCCCTTAGAGAGAATTAGGCTCTTTAGCTTAGAAACTGCCGATGGTGGGACATGGCTGTGCAGCGTCCCTCCTACGAAAAATGTGAAAGGCATGAAATGATTCGGGTGCCGTTAAAAGTACAACATGTTACGATCATAAAAGTTAATTAGCGACGAGAAACAATAATTCAACAAAAAAAAAGAAAAATAATTGGCCAACGCACGGGCTGCCCGTGCGAAAATGCGTTTTTTGCATAGTTCCCCGCAG